TGTGTAAGTGAATCTATGAAACTATGTATGTGCGTGGATATCACATGCATATACATATATATTACATATCTATATATTTATGTATGTTGCCTTTGACAATCATCTCTTCTTGGAAAGGAAGTCAGGTGTTTTCTGACTAAGGCTTTTAAGGCTCTTTTTGATCTCCTTTTTATGGCAATGGATTCCTATCAGTTAAACTTCTGTATAAAATTACTGCAATAGATGTTGATGTCATTTCTGTGTTTGTTACACATTTTTTCATGAATTTCATAACTTTTAAAATTAGGCTAGGATTGAGTTGTCTCAACTGTCCACTATATATTTTTTCTCATCATTATAGATACAAAGACAAAAATGAAATAGATCTTGTCAAAGAACCTACATTTTATTGCTTAGGTTTTTGAGCTTAAGAAGGACGTGGTCAGAACTATGACTGTGGATGAATATTCTGGCAGGTGATAGATTAAAGAAGGGAAAACAATTGAAGAAGCTTGCCATCATTGGAGGTAAAATGAGTTTCTTAAGGATTGAGAAGTAAGGGTTATCTATGAATATTAACGTCACCAAAGATGTTAGGAAATAGAGAGAAGAGAGTCACTGTGAAAAATGAGAGTATCATGGAAGTCATGACATGGCAGTGATAACAAATGGAAATGAATGCTATAATAGGATTGTATAAAGCTCAAAGAAGAGGATGTTTTTGAATGATAAAGGCAGAGCAAGGATCTGAAATGACAGTGGGTAATAAGGAATATGTGGCTCCTTCAGGTCCAGTGAGTTAGAAAGCACTGAGAAGGCAAGAGAGATGAAGTCTTAGAGCTAAGATTTCCCTTCATATATAATTTGGAAAATTCAATGCAAAAATAATCAAGAGCTAACTATCACTCGTATGCAGATGACTTTCACAGCTACATTTCCATATTCTATCTCATATCTACACTTCTACATAGCTACAAAACATCCCATGCTTTTTCATGTAAGTAGAAGGGAAGAAATAAACACTTACATAATTCCTATTATGTGCCAGACACTATACCAAGACCTTTGCAAATATTATTCATTTATCTTCACAACAACCCTGAGAAGCAGATGTTATTATTATCATCCTCATTTTATAGCTCAGGAAACTGAGGCAAACAGATTAAGTGACTTACTCAATGTCACTCAGCAAGTAAATGTTTAGGAATGGATTTCAAGTCAGGTCTTCCTAATTCCAGGTCTGGCATTCTATCTGCTGAGCCACCTAACTGCCAAAATACTTTCAGAGTAGACCTTCTGACACCTGAAATTTAACCTATTGAAGCTAAAATTATTTCTAAAAAAGGAACCTCTTTCCAATATCCATATCACTGTCAATACTATTGCCCTTCTTGTGGGTTCTAAGTTTTTAATTCTCTACAATATCACTTGAATTTTTAATATGAGATTATATTTTTGGTCTCCATGATATAACCTCCATGATGTCTATATCCAATTTTTTTTTTTACTGTTATTCAATAAATGTTGGTGACTGAATGACAAAAGAGTTAACTGATTTAGTGAAGGGGCATCTAGAAGAATTACTAAGAAGGTTAAGGAATTCAATGAGTCATGTGTACAAAAATGTAACTGAATGTTCTAATTTTTTTTAAAACAGAATTTACCATCTCACCCATGGCTAAGTAAAAACATTATAACATTTGAATGGGGGGGAAAGCTTATTTTTTAACTTTTTATTTTAAGTTAGGAAATGTAGGAGGGATTATTAGGGATGAGATACAATAATCCATTCACAGCAGCAATTAACTCTTCAGTAACTGATTCTAAATCATACAATATAAAATTCCTATTACATCTTTACTCACAAGGGTAAGTGAGATTTTTAGTATGTCAGGGAGTATAAGTACCAACGTTTTTAATTTTAAAATTCTAAGCGTTAAGGTTTTTAATTTAATCCTTTCAATGGATGTCAATGATGTCTTTCAAGTAACCAGCTCACACTTAATATTATGCCATGCTCCGAAGACCTTCCATGTACACCATCTCATTTGATTGTATTAACAACTTATTTAGGTACTTAAAGCATAACTACTACATGAATTTTACAGATGAGAAAACAAAGTTTAACTAGTAAGTGGTGGCCAAGCTAGAATTCAAACCCATATAATTGTACTCTAAGTCTAGGATTCTTTCCAAAATATTTTGTGGCTTTAAGATAAGAAGATAAGAATAGGATCTGGGATAGGAATATCCATGAGATTAAAGCTTTAGGTTAGGAAAAAATGGACACGGAAGATGAAAGAAGTACTAAATAATACCTAACACTGTGAATCTGGCAAATGCATAGGATATTGGTGACACTGTTAAGAAGGGGAATTTACTTGAAAAAAATTCTTTTTTATTAACAATGACTCAAAAAAATGTGAACTTTCCATAAAGAACAGAAAAAAGGATTGCACATGATATAATGACTCTCTATTGTAGCCTTTTTAAAGGTATATATTAAATTTAACACAGCACTTGCACTATTGGCCCTGCTTGTTTTTTCCTGAACTACCTTCTTTTACTTCCTTTTTAAGGTTTCATTGATGTTCTTTTCTTTTTCCTTTGTACCCTTATCACCATCTGCTCCTCTTCCTAGAGGCTCTTCCCTCTCTGCCAGATCTCCCAAACCCTCCCTTGTTATAAAAAAGTCAAGTGAAACAAATTAACATAATAGCTGTGTCTGGAAAAAGTCTATCTCCTTCTGTACCTTTAGCCCATCATCTCCCTTCTATAAATTGGGAATGATCTACTGTCAGTCATCTAGATCTGTGCTTGGTCATTACGTCAATCATGGTTCTTGTGTCTTTTATAATTTTTTCCTTTACAATGTTGTCATCATTGTAATATATTTTTCTCCCGGTTCTGCTCATTTCAATGCATCTGTTCATATAAATTTCCCCAGTTCATATGAATCACACAAATTATCTGGATTTGTCCTTCTCATCATCTTTTTATGGCACAATACATTCATATACAGTTTGGCAAATGTCTTCTAAGTAATAACACTTTTGCATAACACCAGAGGTCATTTTGAAATATCTTTTTCAGATCAAATATAGATATAATACACTGAATATTTAGCAAATTTAAATAAATTAATTCTGATGTGACCATATTTCATATAAAATTTAATTTATATAATTTCTTTCTGAAATTTTGAGTTTATAAACTGCTCACTTAAAATCTGCAGTTTGGAATTTGTAATACATGAATAAAATGTTAATTGACAACATATAATTCAGAAGGTAGTATTTTTCTTTTCAGACTGTGACCAAAGTAAGAGTCCTAGTATGAACTTAATAGTTAATTCTGATTACCCAAAACAAAGAATTTCTAACAAGTAAAATGAAAATAGGACGAAAAGATAAATAGTTAATTGGGAAAAAAAAAACCTTTAAAACAAATTTCTCTGATAAATGTCTAGAATTCACACAAGTATAAAATGAGAGCTATTCCTAGATAGATAAATAGAAGGATATGAATAAGTTCAAATAACCAGGTGGAAGTTATCAACAACAATAATGAAAAAAATGCTACAAATTATCACTAATAAGAAATGTGTAAATTAAAATTATTCTGAGGTTCCATCTCATATCCATAAGATTGACAAAGATGACAGAAGAGGAAAATGGCAATTGTACAGGGACTGTAGAAGGACGGGGCACTGATGGAGGTGTGGTGGAGTTGTGAACTGGTCCAACTATTGTAGAAAGTGAAATGTCATAAAGATATTTTATAACCAATGATATTATGGTAAAAAAAAATACAGACAGCTCATTCTCAAATTTAACAACCTATTGCTGACTTGCTGCCCTTTGAAAGTATAAAGACACAAATATGGCCTTCAAGTTGGAGTAGTGAGAACAATCAGCATGAGCTATTTCAAGGTCTGATGTAAGAACACCTGGAGATTAGTATTCCTGTGGTGCCATAAAGTCACCAAACTGTGAGTATCTTCGGATCCAGTGATAACATCATTAGGCATATAACCATGGAGGTCAAAGAGAGAAGGTAGATACACACAAAAATATTAGTAGCAGTCTTTTTTGTTGTATCAAAGTATTGGAAACAAAGTGTATGCTAATGAATTGGGGAATGGCTGAAGAAATTATAATATATGAATGTAATGAAATATTACTGCATCTTAAGAAATGAGTAGGATGAATTCAGAGAAACTTGGGAAGACTTGTGAAATGATTCAGAATGAAATGAGCAGAATTAGGACAGAACAATTTAATGTTAACTATAGAGAAGGAAAATAACTGAAGGATTATAGAATTCTGATCGAATTAGAAAACAATCAAGACTTTAAGTGACTTATCCACATCTTGGTAGAGAGGTGACAGACTAAAGGCACAGAATAAGACCAATGTGCTGATTTGTTTTCCTTAACTGTATTCGTTACAACTGAACAGGTCTTCTACTTAGAGGAAGAGAGGTAAGTAGATACTGACAGCAATGCAAAACAAAAGAGTATCACTAAAACATCTTAATTACATACAAAAGAAAACAAAAAAGAAACTCAGGGCAATCTTGTTACTATTATGTTAAATTTGACACACATCTGAAAACAAGTATGTAGCAGAATTGTACAGCTTCATATGCAGCCTTCTTTGTTGTGCATTGAAATATACAGGTTTGTTGATGATTGTTTATCCCACAATAAAATTTTCACCTAATTAGTATTTGGCTAGTGTTAGTCTTTTTCTCTGTTCTATTTTCTACTTTTCAGGAGTACATTTTCCTTTTTATTCAATTTAACAATTTATTAAATCTTTTCAATAAGACTGAGCTGAATATCGATGGGGGAAGACAGTGTGAGAGTGTGTGTTTGTGTGTGTGAGAGAGAAAGAGAGAAAGAGAGAGAGAGAGAGAGAGAGAGTGAGTGTGTGTGTGTGTGTGTGTGTGTGTGTGTGTGTGTAGGGATATAGAAAGATGAAGTCATCAAAAAAAATGGAAACAATGGAGTTTCTTACCTTCAGGATCATATGTTTGAAAAACCCTCCTGGCTTGCTCTGAAGGAGCTTCAGGGGCAACTAAGGCCATATCCTGAAAAGATAAAAATTTTCAAATGCAATCAATTCAATTCAACAAACACACATCTGTACAAGGCACCATGTGAGGTGACAGTGATGCAAAAAAAAAAAAAAATCCCTGCTATCAAGGAGCTTATATTTCAATGGAGAGATACAACAGTATACAAATAAGGATAATAAAAATCATCTGAAAAGCAATTAACTTAAACAAAAGTAAACTATACAATTTCTTTATCACAACTAAACAGACTATAGTCAACAGCAACAGCAAATACTTGGTTGACAGTACTGATTTACTGGGAAGCAAGAAGCACAACCTGAAATATGTCCCAGCCTTCAAAATGTTCATTACTGACATTCAAGTACTTCTTCTACAAATGAACAGTATAATATAGAAACATATATACTTATATTTCTGTTCAGAATAGTAGATGGCATGGTGTACTGTATGACTGATAAAAAGTTGAAAAACCCATTAAATCAAGATCCATTTCAGATCCACCAACTCTTACAACATGATGTTGCCTACCAGATATGTTAATCTGAATGTCTTATAATCAACTACAATTAGTTAGGATAAAAACAGTTGTTCATCTTCCAAAACAAACTTCCCCATTACAATATACATAACCATTTTACCAAACTTTCAAATGAGACATTTGGTACTTCACCTATGATTCTTCAGTCACACTTTCTTTTTGGAGGGGATGGGGAAATAGTTAGTGGTTAGGCAGCAGATTTGTGATGTTATATATATAAGGGCATTCTCAGTATTGGAAACTCCCTCTATGGATACAGCTTGGCAATTCACTTTTGACTTACAGTCTAAGTCACTTTATATTCTCTTATACAGGTCTAGGTGAGGCAGGAAGTGTAGTGGATAGAGAACTGGCCCCAAGAATCTAAAGATCTATGTCCAAGTCCCAACTCTGACCCATGCTAGCTGTGTGACGTTAGTGAAGTTACCTAATTTCTCAATACCCCAAGCAGTTTTCTAAGACTCTAAGTTTTAAAGAAGATGCCAATCTGCACTGATAGAGAAAATTCCACAGCAAGAGCATATTACTACAACAATGAAATTACAGGTTTGGTTTTAAAAAAAAAAAGGCTTATATCAGTTTTAGCTGTTTTCTTTTTTACTATCTTTTGGGAATTTACAAGTGTCAATTTAACTTACTCTGAGAATATCTAGCAAATTACTATATGCAGGTAGAGCTCTTAATAAATTACAGATGATGAGTGTTACCTTTCCTGATCTCTCCAGCTTCCAGTGTCACCCCCCCTCAAATCATTCACCCACTATCTATTCTATACACACACACACACACACACACGCACACGTGCACACACACACACACAGAGTCTCTTCTGGCTAGTCTGTAAGCTTCTCAAAGGCAGAGGCTATTTTCACTTTTGTCTTTGTATGCTAAGTGTTTGGCATAGGACCTGGAATAAAATGTTTAGTGACTGAATAATTAAACTGTTTAAGCAACAACAAGTTTTCTCTGAAATGCTCTCTCTTCTATTCTCAAATAAATACTATTCTTTAAATTATTCTAACAAGTTGTTAGAATTAATCTCATTTTTCCCTATAAAAATTACTTAAAACTTTTAATTTATTTTCCATTTTCTTGTTCAGTTACTGGCACAGACCATGACTTTCTTAATTACTTCAACAATCTTTCTACTGATTGGAATAAGTTATGCTAAAATCCTTCAACTGCACATAGGATATTTTGAAAATTAAGTTTACCATATTTACTTACACATAAATGTGAATATGGTAAGAAATGACTTTAAATATCCAGTATACCTATTTTTACTTGAAAAATTTTTTTTGTAATACTCTTTGTAATTCTAGTAATAATTAAAAAAATACAAATATAAATTTGAGAAGTAGATCATGTATCATTCATAGCAATGGGTAGGATATGAATTCTTAGCCAAATAAGGGATAGGGATAATTGCACAAGATAAAAGAGATAGTTATTATTATTACATAAAAAGAAAAGCTTTTACAGAAATAAAATCTAAGGTAAGAATGGAAGTAGAATGGAAGAAAAATCTTTTTATCAAATATCTCTGATAAGGATTGATATCCAAAATATACAGACAGATCGTCAAAAAGAAGGAAGGAAGGAAAAAAAGGAAGGAAGGAAGGAAGGATTTAAGTATATATTGTATGCCAGGCACTGTGCTAAATGCTTTAAAAATATTATCCCATTTGATCCTCACAATAACCCAGGAAGGTAGAGCTATTATTAAAACCAAAAAAAAAAAAACCAAACAAAACTGGGGCAAACAGAAGTCAAGTGAATTGCCCAGAGTCACATTGCTAGGAAGTCTCTAACTCCAGGCCCAATGCTTTATCTACTATGCCACCTACTACCTATGCCTCTGCCTAGAAGACCAAAATTCCCTAATAAATAATGATCAAAGGATAGGAACAAACAGTTCTCAAAGTAAAACTTACAAACTATTAACAACTTCATGAAAAAATGCTCTAAATCACTATTAATAAGAGAAAGCAAACAGGAAAAACCCAGAGGTTTTAGCTCACACCACAAACTGGCAAAGACATCAAAAGATGGGAATAGTCAATGCTGCTAGGGTTGTGAAAAGCTAGGTGCATTGATACATTTTTGGTCAAGCTGTGAATTAGTACAACCATTTTGGAAATAAATTTGTAATTATGCAAATAAAGTGGCTAAAAATATTTAGATCTCTTTGACTCAAAGATTCTATGGTTAAGTGTATATACTAGGAGGACACTGACAAAAAGAAAAGTTCCATATATTCCAAAATATCTCCAGCAGTACTCTTTGTGGCACCAAATAACTTGAAACAAAGTAGATGTCAATCAGTTGGGAAATGGCTAAATAAATTGTGGTAGATGAATTTAATAGAATAATTCTGTATTCTAAGAAATAATGAGCATGATGACTTCAGAGAAACATAGGAAGATTTATATGAACTGGTGCGAAATAGAGGTAAGGAGAGCCAGGAAAACAATATCCACAATAACTACAACAATTTAAATGGAAAGAATAACCACAAACAATTAAAATGAATGTGGTGAAATTATAAAGAACAAGTCTGGCCCCACAGAAGTAATGAGAAAAAACTTCCCTAATCCATTGCAGAGGGGAAGGAAGCAGTTCACAGGTGTTGAAGCACTGCATATAATGTCAGATTTTTTTTGATGTACTGACTGGTTTTACTAAATTTTTTTCTTTTTTAATTAAAAAAAATTGTCATTATAAGGGATAGCTTGTTGGGTAGAGTGACAAAGAAGGAAATCTAGCTAATGTAAAAACAAAATATATCAATAAAAACCCATTTTAAAAAGAAGTTGCCAGGAAAATATTCCCAATACATATTTCTGACTACAACGCCTTTCTCCATGGCTCCTTGCTCAAAAACACTTTGGCAGCTCTCCAATGTTCAAAGGATAATAAAACACACTCTAAGCCTGACATTTAAGGTTTTCTAAATCTGGCTCCACACCACATTTTCAACTTTATTCCATTCTTCTCCTCTTAATATGCTATAAATTCCAAACTATACCTCTGTGTTCCCTTATTTTATCCTGACTGAATTCATAAGGATCTTACATAACTGTATAACTTGCAATGTTATATCTACACCAGGACAGTCACCTTCATAAAGCCTTCCCTCTGATTTTCCTGCCTCAAAATGACCTCCTCTAACTAAAATTACTTGTAGCATTTTGTTTGGACTTCTTTACTTTCATTACACTGCTTTATATTTATCTGTAGACATATCTTATTTCCCCTCTAAGCACCTAAGTTCCTTCAGGGCAAGAATTACATTATTTTCCCACTATGGTTTGCACAGTTCAGAGGTTTAATTTTTTTAAAAATTAGAGAAATCATCGTAGACACTCAAGTATTTTGTAATATTCACAGTGGGTGACGGATGAAGAGTCAGTAAGGAATAAAGACAAGAATTTATCAAAGAGTTTGGAAAAGAACCAGGAAAATGATATAGAAGCCAAGGGAGGAGAAACCTTCAAGAAAGACTGGATGATCAACAATGTCAAATGCTCCAGAGAGCTGAAGATGATGAGGACTTAGAAAAAAACCTCTGGGTTGGTTAAGAAAGAAGTAGAGATCAGGTTTAACAAAGTGGTAATCATGGGGAATACAAGTTGGAAGTGAAGGGATAAGAAATGAAAAAGGAGAGATAAAAATCTAGATTAAAAAAAAAGGATTATCAAAAATATTTTGAATTCTTCTAAAATAGGGTATCTTGAATATTCTTTTGTAGCTAATAGTTCTGAAAATAGCTTAGGTTTTTTGTTTTCAAAAGAGAACAGTACAACTCACAAATGTACCACCTGAAGTAGAGAAGCATGAAACATCTTAAAAATATGTACTTGAATAACCCAAACAGAAGTTTCATAATTTTTTCCAAAATGCAAAATTTAAGCCCTAAGCCTTGTGAACTTTAATTGGATGGGCCTCACATAATGCAACTTACATAAAAGACAGTAAAGTCAACTATTATTGTCACTTCTTAATAATCAAAATTGCATTATGAGATAAGAAAATATTTGCTTCTTTGTTCCCTATGATTTTCTAAAAGGCACTTCCCTAAACTTCTTAAAATTAATTTCTTTAACTTTAATAAGTTAATATTAATAAATGTTTTTATTAATACAATTTTCTTATCTTAATGACCCGGTCCATTCCAGTTCTAAAGTTCTATGAATTCATAACACTGAAGATAATTTATCCAATTCTTTTCCATTTAATTGGACAATTTCTAAGAATTTACTACTATGTGGAAGGTACTGTGCTGGCGTCTGGGGAAACAAGATAGTTATAACACAGACTCTACTTGCAAAGAGTCTACACCTAATGATGGGTGGGGAAAGGGAGGGATGTGTATAGAAAAGAAATATACAAATAATCATGTGTATAGAAGAGAAATATACAAATAATTATGAGAATAGGTACAGAATGATTAAATCAAAAGTGATGGGGAAAA